CTTAAATGATATGATCATTATTTATATCTTTTTTTCTTCTTCTTCTTTTTTTTACTTGATTAAATTATGGATTATTTAATATAAACAAGGGGGGAAGTGGTTAGATTAAAAGAAATACACTGATCAGTTGTGATTAGAATATAACAAGAAAATCTGCAAAATTAATAATTAGAAATCTTGATAATGAACAACGGTTTTGGGACAAACAAGATCAGAAAGGTGGACAATATGGTTGAAATGATCATAAGAAGCCTGGTTTGATAAGCACCAAAGACAAATCCAGAGTTGTGTTTAGTTCTGTTGAGTTGTGTTTTATTCTCAAGTAGCAGGATTGAGTTGATAAGGTGGTTGAGAATGTTTAAGGCGAGCCACAAATGATATGAATTCTCACTTATATGAAGATTTTACAAGGGATGAAGTGAAAGAAGTCTTAGATTAGATGAAACCGATATATACAAGTTCTAGAACCAAATGATATCCTAGCTTTCATATTGTTGTCCTTCGTCCATAAATGGAACAATTTAGGCCAACAATGTCTTTAATTTGAACAGTTAAAGATATCAACTTGGTTGTCTTAACAGTATTAAAATGGCCGTCCCAAAATCACCACTTAAAACAAGAAAAAGGATATCGCCAAGCATTGATACGTTGCATATACGATAAAGTCAACAAACATCGTCCCCCCTTGCTCTAATTTGATGCAATAATGTTTAAAGGTTCATGACATTTGCTCAAGATTTGACGTCATTTTCAAGCTTGCATTGCAGACTGTTCCTGTTGCAACCTTTCACCCCATCTTTTGCAACTTTTTGCAAGCTTTGAGACTATTATAGAAGAGGTTCTTTTAGATAATGATGGCCACCTTATCGAACAGTCTTGTCATTACTGATCATGGAATCATCTCCAAAAGATATTTTATTCTTCTCCTATCATGCATACCTTTTCTACTCTAGCTTGGCTTCTTTTATTTCCTCTGTATTATCAATATCAGACAAGAATGAGGCCAAAATGGCCATTCAGTAAAGAGAGAAGCCTCGTGATGAAAGAAGCCCCACCAATGCCGGAGCCAGAAATTTATTTTATTCTTGGCTATGAATAAATAAATATAAATTATTTTTTAATAGAAAGGTTGCAACTGAAACAGTCTGAAATGCAAGCTTGGAAAGGAGCAGGAGGAAAAGCATGAGTTCTATTCTCCTTTGCTCTTTTTTTTTTCATTACTTTATTAATAATACAAAAAATTTTGTATTATAAATTAAAAGATAAGCTAAGAAACCATACTCTATATTAATGAGAGTTAAGCGAATTATAAAAAACTATTATTTTTTTATTAAAATTTATTTTTTAATTTTTTTAAATTGTATTATTTTTTTATTAAAATATATTTTTTAATTTTTATAAATTTAATGTAAAATAATTTAAAAATATATAAAAATTAATTCTTATAAACCTTGACTAATTTTAGGAATCATGAAGTTAAAGACCATATAAATTTTTAGTAAATTTTAAAGAACAAACCTAGAGCTTTGACTGATTAGGCTACAATCTCATGGTTAATTAAGTATTTATTTGCTACTATAAAATGGGGGCTAAAGAGTAGAGAGCATTTGGGAATGCGGTTTGCATCGTGGGACACAATCTGTATTATTGCGTTCTCTTCTGTTGATGGTGGGGTAGTGTTGGCTGTATTTCTTAGAACAAAACCTTCTTTGGAAATTGCACGTTCGTTTACCTTGAAAAAATCCTGCAGTTCTCTTTTAATCTACTCAACGGTGATGTCAAATCTATAGCAAATGCCTTGAACCTTTTAACCTTATTGATTCAAATTAGAGCAGGGATTACAATTGCAACCACATTCTCAAATTTATTTTTTTAATTTTATATGTTTGTTGATTTTAAGCAAGTTGATATCTTTAATTCTCCGCTATTAATTCAGATTTTAACCGGGTGAGGTGTTTTAATTCAAATTTGATTAATCCTTTTTCACGATTAATTTACAGATTTTTTACTAAGCTGTTTTCTAATACTCTATTTATTGCTTTTCAGTTAAAGTTTTATATTGATCTTCAATCATCAGCAGGAGAGGAAGTATTAATATATTTATATAGAAAATATTATAATTATATTTTTATGTTGCAACCTCCACCATTATTATTATATATTACTTTATATATATATATATATATATATATATAGAAAAGTTTGACAAACTAATAAATTAAACCAACTAATTATTTTTAATTTTCACGAATCCCAATATTTTAATTTAAATATTTGATTTAAATTTTTTAACTGAATCCAACAACAATAAAAAAGTATAGTAAATGCATGCTTAAAAAAAAAAAAAAAAGGTAGAAGCGCCCATACATTCAATTGGAACTCGGGAGTTATTACAGGTTCAAATTTTTACCACGATCGGTAGACAGACACAATCCAAGATGTTATCGATCCCAAAATCCTGACCTCTAATCTTACTAAAGATTGTGCTTTCTCTTGAGATCAGAGAGTTTATTAGGCAGCCGCCAGCTACTGTAGATAAACACTAAAAAAAGGCTGTAGTAGAAATAGTGCAAGAGAACCTGTAGAAGAACTTTGTTGAAATACAGCGGGATAATCCAAGGAAAAACAAGGAATGCCTGAGCAAAGAAAAACATAACGGCCACCACTTCAATGATGATTGTTAACAACCCACCATGGGATCCTAGCAATGCTATTCTCACAGAAAAAAAGAATGCCCCGAACATCATGACAATTGCCGAACAAACCATGGAGATGGAGAACTCAACTGCAGGGATTTGAAATTTGGGATAATTAAAGTTCGACCAGAGAAGGATTAGAGCTGCCACCAGAGAGGTAGATAAAGCCCCCACATCGAGAAATAAATAACCACGCAGAAGAATCTCGTAAGTGCTGTTGAATTCACTCGAGTTATTGTTGTGCCTTAATTGTGGCAATTGCATAGCACCTGCAAAGGTTACACCAGCAACAAGAACTGTTACCACCAGAAGACTCCCTACCATGCTTTTTATTTCCTCTTTTGTTCGTGACATGGGCTGTAGAGTAACGGGGAAAAGCTCAAATAGGGATTTCTTAGGGCGGGCATTGAAGTATAAGATCGATGATGTTATCACCTGCATAGAAAGGGGAAAAAAAACTTCATTGTTTTAATGAGTTCTTGGCACTTCCTCAATTGCATCCAAATTAAAGCATTGGCCTTCAAATGCCTTCCCCAGAATCAATTGGGCTTGAACTAGAAGTTTAAAACATTAGGGATGGCAAGGAAAAAAGAAGCAATAATACCAATCGGAAATATACAACCCTTATTTCGTCCTTTGGTGATGCCTCTTTTGTATGTAGCTTATTTGAATCAACTACTTTGTCCTGAAAAAAAAAAAACATAATTATATGTTAATATGCAGTGCTCTTCTTTTTTTTTTTGCGAAGTCACTCACGCTATATTGTCGATAGGATTTGAAATTAGTTTTTAATATATAAAAAAAAAATTAATGTACGTGTACCATGAATGTGTCATAAAAAAATTAAATGGAAATTTGAAACTTAATGGGTGTATTTAATAGAATAAATTAAAAATTATATGATTTAATAAAACATAAAAAGAGTTGTTAGTGTTAAATAAAAGATAAAGTAGAAAGTTGAAAGATACATACACATAAAAATATCTGATCCCGATGTGAGACAGTTTTAGTTTTTTTATTTAATTATATAACTATAAAAACTGATTTTCATAAAAACAAATTCTATAGGATTAAAAACATTATTTAAATTGATTTGAAATAAAAATAACAAAAGGTATCTACATATTTTTTTAAAAAACCATTTTCTTTTTTTTTGACAAATGTTTTTATAAAAATCATTGTTTTTTTTAAATAACAACTTCTCATAATCTTACAAGCAAGTTTCAATTAAAAAATAAAATAATAATGAACTGATAATTTGATGATTTTCTTGAACAGTAAAAATAAATATTTTTTTAGCTATGTTTTTTATTGCATAAAAACTAAAAGCAATGAAAATAAATATGTTAAAAAATTACATGATTTTTTGAAATAAGGTTAAAAAAATATATCTATTTAATCAAAATATTTTTTTTATTAATGAATTGTCTTTTTTATGTAGTATTTTATCACAAATATTTGTTCTTAAAAAAAAAAACTTAACATAATACTAAAACTAAATACCTTGGTCTCATCCGCAGGGGTTCCATTCTTGGAATCAAACTGCTTTCGTTCCTTGGCACGCTGGCAACAAAGAGGAAGCCCAGATACCAAAATATTAAATCAATAATACTCCTAAAATATATAGACTTTAATTAATAGCATACCATTTCATCTGTTTTTATGTATTTCTCTTCAAATCTTTTGGAAAATTCTTCAGCCCACTCATATGGTGTGCAATTTCTATTGTTAACAATGAAACGTTCAACGCGGCAGTCACGCAAAAGAAGAAATGTAGCCATGCATTCGCCATGACTTGCTGCCAAGTGCAAAGGTGTATTTCCATCCTCATCTATCGCATTTAGCAGCGGTGCGTCGAGCTTCGGGTCATGTTTGAGTATGTACCTAACCACATTGCCATTTCCATATTTGGCCGCTACATGAAGAATGTTCTGCCCTTTCTTATTGAGGAATTCTTTTGGATATGGGAACATATCAAGAAATTCCTTCACTACATCAACAGAGTGGCTTTTGCATGCTAGATGGATAGGATAGTTTCCTTCAAGGTTTGTTTCATAAGCACCATCGTGAAACTTCTTTAATAGGAATCGAACTCCTTCCAGAAAACCTATGGATGATGCATAATGCAGTGAGTTTCCCAACTCTTCGTCGGTGAGACGTAATAGCTCTGGCTTTTCCTTTTCAATTTTCTCCAAAATATCTGAAAATCAAAAGAAAATGTTCCAAATGAATATAAAGATGATAGCTTTGCAACAATTGTTTATGTGTAATTCATTTTCTAGTGAGTAATGAAATTGTGATCACCTCTGTTACGTTGCTTGATGGCAGCATGAACAGGGGACTTTCCTTCTGGTAGGGCATCACCATCTTCACTTTTTATAGGGAACGAAGCTTCCGTTTTCAAGAGATCACCAAGTATCTCTTTCTTATTGCCGTTCTCAACTGCCAGATATAAAGGAGACTTGCCATTCTTGTTGTTGTAATAGGCCACTTGTGGATCTTTGGAAACTAGGAAAATGGCAAGTTCTTTGTTGCCCTTGACCACTGCATCATGCAAAGGAGTGTTTCCCTTTGTATTTTTCTTCCTCATCAAGCTCGGATTCGATTCCACAAGAGATTTAACTGTATGACTGGCCTTTCCTTCTGTGGCAGCAAGATGAAGGATTGTGTCCTTCTGGCTGTTTTGGATGGTGATTAGAGAAGGAAACTTTTGAGCCAGATAAGATGTAATATTGTCACTTTCATAGCTTACAGCTACATGAAGTAATGAGTTCCCACATGGAGTCACAAGCTTCTCTGTTGAACGTTGCTGGATGCGGCTTTCAAATTCTTCAATGTTGTCCTTCTTCACACACTCATATAACTCGCTATCTATCTTTGTATTTGCCATGTGATTTCTCGGAATCGAGTTTTGAACTATGTTTATTGCTACGCTAGACATAGCGAAAGAAAATGTTATTTTACCTGAATCAGCTATACATATCAGACGGCAGGACTTCCAATTTAAATAGACCAGAAAGAGAGAGCAGCCTTGGCCATGGTTAAAGCAGCATCTAGAAAAGGAAAAGGAAACTAGTAAAATATGACCCCCAACACAGAAAAAGATGATTGTCCCTGGGGAAATTATTAACTTGAATTTATAACTCATTTACACTGTGCAAATGGGAGAATTCATATTTTAATAATAACTATCCATTTAATCCGTGCTTTACCGCGGTTTATATTTTCTTTTTTATATAAACATATTAGGCATAGGAGCTGCTTCAATGTATTTTTTAATATAAAAAAGTTTAATGTGTAAATTGTAAATTCTATGCAAGTATTTAATTAAATAAATAATTATTTATTTATATAAAAAAAATTAAAAAAATATTAATAATAAAAAAATTAAAAAATTTAAAAGAAAAAATAAATTAAAATATTCAATCATACAAAATAAAATATTTACTTAATTGTGTTCACTAAACTTGTTTATTTAAATCAATAAAAAAATAAATCTATATCCTAAAAAACTCATGACTTAAATGATAAACACAAATAAAATTAACTGAATAAACCCATAACAAAAACAATATTACACAAGATTGAACACATCAACAATATTATTTAAAAATAATTTTTTTTGAAAAATAAACTTTATTTGTATAAAACAAAAAAACAGTATAAATAAATTAGAATAATATCTTGAAAAATCAAATATAAACAAAACACTTAAAAAAAATTATATTAAAAAATAGCATGCAAATCCTGTGATCATGAGATCGAGACAAACTCATAGAAAAAAATTAAAAATAATTATAAAACCAATATTTTCTCTAAAAAAACAAAGGTAGAACAATAAAATTATGTGAATGTTAAAAAATAAAATCATGAAAAAAAATCAATTACAGAAAAGCATCCAAAAAATAAGGGTGAAAAAACAATTCATTAAAGGGCAAATAAAAATTTAATTTCACCTATGTTCCGCAACAGGTCATAAATTTTATTTAAAAAAAAAACATTTGATTACAAAGGTTATTTTGATATTTGTTTTACATAATAAAAATTATAAGTGTAAATAAAAAAGTTTATCCAAACATCTAATAACTATCTATATAAAGTTTTTTTTTAATCATGAATAATAAGTAAAGTTTTTTTTTAATCATGAATAATAAGTAGAAAAAAATGAAAAAAATTAAGAAATGAATGTACATCAAAATATTTGATCACATAAAATGAGATATTTATCCGCTTGTTTCCACTGAACTTGTTTATTACAATTAATAAAAGATAATAAAAATAAAAAAAAAATATATGAAATCAGGTCAATAAAATAAAATAAAAAACAATGCAAAATAAAATAAATTGCAAGTAAAAGAATCAAGACTAAATTCGACAAAAAATATATTGAAATTAAAAATTTGAGGAAAAATGAAATGAAAGAAAATGTTTAGGGATGAAGTTGAAAAACAATTAATTGAGAAAATGAATAAAATAGTGATTAAAATAATTGTTAGGGTTGGAATTGAAAAAACAGAAAAAAAAATTAAACCATAAAATTACTCAAAACAAAAAAAAAAATTGCAATTAAGAGAATGAAAACCAAATATAATTAAAAAAATAAAGAAATCAAATGAACATGAATGAAATTAAAAATAAAATCTAATTAAAAATAATCAATATAATTAAAATAATTGCAATTAAAACAAATGGGACTAAATCAAAAGATAAAGGAAACTGAAAGGCTAGTTTAATTTTTTTTCATGGTTAACATGCAATTTAAAAAAGAAAGAGAAGAAAAGGAAAAGAAAAAACCAATTTAACACTAAATCCGACCATACCTATTTGAAAAACATTTGACTACAAAGGTTATTTTGATATTTGTGTTACATAATAAAAAGTATAAGTGTAAATAAAGAAGTTTATCCTAACATCTAATAATAACTATTTATGTAATTTTTTTTTAATCATGAATAATAACTAGAAAAAAGTGAAAAAATTAAGAAATGAATATAGATCAAAATATTTGATCACGTAAAATGAGATATTTATCTGTTTGTTTCCACTAAACTTGTTTATTAAAATTAATAAAAGATAATAGAAATAAAAAAATATATGAAATCAGGTTAATAAAATAAAATAAAAAATAATGAAAAATAAAATAAATAGCAAGTACAAGAATCAAGACTAAATTCGACCAAAAAAAAAACAGAAGTTAAATATTTGAGGAAAAATGAAATGAAATAAATTTCTTAGGGATGAAGTTGAAAAAATTAATTAAGAAAATGATTAAAAAATAGTGATTAAAATAATTGTTAGGGATGGAATTGGAAAAAATAAAAAAAATCAAACCATAAAATTATTCAAAACAAAATAATTTGCAATTAAGAGAATGAGAATCAAATATAATAAAAAAAAATTAAATGTGAAATCAAAAATAAAATCTAATTAAAAATAATCAATATAATAAAAAGAATTGCAATTAAGAAAAATGGGACTAAATCAAAAGATAAAAGAAATTGAAAGGCTAGTTTAATTTTTTTTCATGGCTAACATGCAATTTAAAAAAGAAAGAGAAGAAAAAGAAAAGAAAAAACCAATTTAACACTAAATCCGACCATACCACCATACATGCACAATAAAAAAGAAAGAGGATGTCAGGATAAATAAAATGATGTGATAGAAGTAAGATTAACACAGTTAGAATTAGCAATTTTATCTTTTTCTTTTTTTGTAAAAAATGGAAAATGATGTTAGGACTAAATAATAACTGCAAAAAATCATTATAAAATTACAACTAAACCCCTAAATCCAAGGTTTAAAAAAGTGGATGTTAAAGGTAATGAAGTAGTTATATTGTTCAATGACAAACAAAATTATTATAAGGCCGTGAACCAAAGGTTATCAGTATTCACTTTTTAAGATCAATATCGCAATTGTATTGTTAAAATCAATGTAAAATTACTATAACACCCCCATTGCCTTTTAAAATAAGACAACAATATCCTCATTCCAAGCCTTGAGAACTGCCAAATATTATGCAAGTCCACAATAGAATGTATCTTGGCTTACAGTGTATGTTCAGTAGAGATCCCAAACGATTTAGGGTTTTACTTTTTATTAGTTTAACAGCTAAGATGATTTGGAGTGATGATTTAAAGTATTGAAATAGCTAAGATGTTTAATGAATCCAAGTGTTGGTTTTACCCAGTGTCATAACTTAAATTTTAAATAAATAATAAAAAAAATAAATGGATAAAAATATATTTGAAAATACAGTTAAAACAATACAAATTCAAAATTTAGATATGAAATTAGAGATGAAATTATCAGATTTGAGAATAAATTGATTAGAAATTGAAGAATTAATAAGTTTAGATATTTAATTAAAATTTTGATGAGTTTAATTAATGAAATCAAAAGAATTAATAAGTTTAAAGACTTAATTAAACTTTGATTTAATTAATTAGATATATTCAGGGATTTAATTGAAATTAATCTAAGGGCACAATTAAAAATCGATTATTATTGATTAGGATCCAAATTGTGAAGTTTAAACTGTTTAGGGACCAAAACAGATGCTGGACACAACGGCGCCGTTTTGGATGCATTGGTCATTGTCTCCTTCGTTTCGCGCGGAGGAAGCCGGTTTACAGGGAAATTCAGCAGATCATGGCCAGGGGAATATACAGCAGATCACAGCCACTATGGCCACGATGCCATTCTTGAAGCCACGATCTCTCGCCTACATGATGCCCGTCATTTCTGAAAGCTGGGACACAAGACCTTCTCTGGCTTTATAAAAGCCAGAGAAAGGCCTCAAAACTGGGGGGATAGACGAGCGGGAGAAGAAAAGGGAGAAAAAGAGCTGAACCGAGGAGACGAAAAAAACGCAGGAGACAAAGAGAACGAGAGCAAGAAAAAAGAGAGGGAGGGCGACCGAGAACAAACAAACTGGAGGGGCAGATCATGAAACGAATAAAAAAGACAGGGGAAAAAAACAAAAAGAAAAAGCATATAGAGAGAACAGGGGACACACAGACGAAGACGGAGAAAAAGAGAGAGACCGAGAGAGACAGGGGAGACCGAGAGAGAGTGGAACCGAAAACATAAACCAGAGAAAACAAAAACCGGAGGCGACAATAAAAAAGCAAGGAAACTAAAAAGATAGCAGAAAAAGAAGAAGGACCCAGAATCAAGACCGTCAGAGAGAACCGGCATCATCATCATCTTCGTTCCTTCATCTTTAAGAAAAAACCCAGAAGCAAAGAGGAAACGAATGAAACGAAGACGAAGGAGTACGAGGGAAGAACACTGGGAACAGCGGCGGAGCCAAAAAAAAGTTAAATGAGGTGGTAAATTATAAATATTTGGTATTATATATTATATAAATATGTGTTATATATAAAAATTTAATTTGAAATGTATGTTAAGTAAAATTTATTTAAGAATGTTTTTAAAATGAATAAACTAATTTACATTATAATTATTTTTTTTAAGTTTTTATATTTTAAAATTATTTAATATAATTTTATTATTAATTTTATTAAAGATATTCTTTCTCAAATGAAACTTTCATTCATTTTTTTTAAAAATTTTTAGGGATTAGTGAAATTATTAGTAATAATTCTTTGTTAATTTATTGTTTTATATAAGTGGGTTAAATATAAATATTAATATATTTTTAATTTTTTTATTATATCTTTAATTTTTTAGTTATTTAGTACTTCATTTTTAATTATTAATATATTGATTACCATCATTTTTTATATAAAATTCATAATAAAATATATATTAATTTATCAAAACTCATTTCAATTTATATTCACGTACATATAATATTATATATACACATATTAATTTAACAAATCCATAAATTATCATATTATTAAAAAATAAAACTAAAACTAAATAAAAAAATAAAAATAAAAACACGAAGTAAACTTATCTAAAATATTATGGATAAAATATAAAAGGTTACTTACTTAATTAATAGTTTAGAATTTTTTTAAAAAAAAAATTGTAGAAGAAAAAGGAGGTATGAATAATAATTAAAAAAAATTGTTAATATAAAATATTTTTATATTTTTACCCGAA